GAGCAGGAGCATTGTACATGACGAGGAGAGTCTTGAGTGGTAAACCTTTGTCGTCTAGTTATTTCTTAAAAGTAGGGCAAAAAAATCTCCTTGACCCACTCAAGAAAAAGTACTCGTGTTACCCAGGCTTTTGCATTAGATCTCCACATGACTCCTAGCCTATTCTTCATGACTTTATGTTTTCTGAACACTCCAGGGGTCTCAGAGTAATAAACAAAGAAAAGTTTTATCTTAAGGTCACCCCTCACATTGGCACATAGCAGTAAAGTTAGCCTCTCCTTCATAGGCTTGTGGTCTGGCACTTTCTTCTCTTTCTGGGTTGTGTATGTTCTGCTGGATATTTTCTTTCAGAAAAGGCTGATTTCATCACAGTTGAAAATGATGAGAGTGCAACTCATTTCTCTATGTTATCATTTTTGAAGTGACATATGAAACTTTTAGCACATTATTTTTATCAGCTTTTCCAAGTCTAGTTATCCTATGAACCCCAGTTCTTGTTTTACACTTGTGAAACTAACTCTTACTGACATGAACTGTTTTCCCATTTTTGCTCATTGATGGATTATCCTTTACAAGATATGGATTTATAGCCCTAACTTTTTCACAAATTATAGGTTCAATAAACTACCACCTGCCATCTGCCTTTCATTTATCCACTCTAATAATAATTTTTCTACCTTGTCTAACACTGTTGATCATGACTACTAATTTGAGTCATACTTCAGCAACACTAGGTTCCTTAATCAAATCTTTTCTCTGAAAAATTGTTGAGATGGTAGATTTCCACATGCTGTACATATTAGTGAGATCAGTCACATGAATGCCAATGTCATATTTTTCCACAATTTCTTTCTTCTTTTTTATTATGATTGATTTCTTTACCTTTGCTTACTTTCTTAACTACTTTTCTAGTTTTGGGGAGGCGTTTTGATAGCAGTAATCATAGCAATTATATAAAATGCTGACCAAAATCATATCCACAAACATGCATATCTACACTGAAAGTGACACTTATTTACACTTTTCTGGCATAAGTCTTTGCTTACAACCTCACAGGAAGTCAGCATTTGGATCAAGACTTTGATAATAAGTTAAACCTAAAATTCAGGTTGTAACCCAAGTTATTCATATGTAAAGCCAGTTGCAACTCAAGGATCCACTGTATAAAGGGACAGAAAGAATGCAGGCTGGCTGCTGCTGCTTGAAGCTGTTTGCTGCTTGATACCTCACTGCCTTCTTCCTGCCACCCCATGAACTATTTCTCCTTTGTGATGCCCCTCTGCTAGGCCACCCTGGCTTAGAACCAGGCAACTATGAACTGAAACTTCTACAGATTGTGAACTTGATACAGGGGCATGAAACTCCTGATCTACTCTGTCCAGTATGAGTTCCTGTTCTCTAAAATTGAAGAATGAATTTTAGGAATAATGGAGGTTAAGAGAAGAATACATTTATTGAGAGAAAGACAACTTCTGTCTGAGAAACAGAAGAGGTTCCGAGTGGGTTGCCAAACCCACTGTCTTTTTTAGGGACTTTTATAGAGTAAAATTATGGGACAAGACAGGTTCAAGGCAGAGAAAACTGGGAACTCACAAGGCAGATGCACATAAGATAGGACAGAACTATGGTTAACCTGTAAGATTAATAGTTCAGGTAAAATTGATTATATTTGGGACAAATGGGGAATGGCATTCTTAGAGAGCTGTGACTCTTCCCTAGGGGGTTGGAATGGTGACTCCTGATTTCCTCAGGGTGATAGGGAACTATTTAGAATATCAGTCCTTAGGATATGGATGCATTTGTTCGATCTTTTGTCTTGAGGCTTGGTCCACAGCAGGAGGTGCCTGTCTCTCCAACAGTTGCCAGGTATCTGGGCTTCTGCACTGGCTCCTTCCAGGTCCTAGCCCTGTCTCACTGCCTATTTCTAACTAACTCAACTGCCTGTAACAAACTGAAATAGATGTTTTCTTCTCTAACTTGTGTCAGCTACTCTGTCTCAACAATGAGAAAACTAAGATATATAGTAACATTTTCCTACATGTTTTGCACATAACTTTCAATAAAATTGTCTTAGTCTCAACTATAGTTGAAAGTCTTTGTTAGTGAGGTAAGGGTACCGAGAAGCAACCCCATCATTCTCTTAATCCTATTTGTGATTATGTCAGCTGTGAAGGGGAAGAAAGCTCATTGTTTGCCAGTTTCAAGAGAGAAGTAATACACTTATAGTATAGTTTGGATATAAAATGTTTCCCAAGGGCTCACACGTTGCAGCTTTCATCCCCAGTCCATAGCATTTTAAAGGAGGATTTGGGACTCTTGGGAGGTGATGTCTTCAAGAGGTCCACTGCTCATGAGGGCCATCGCCTTTGAAACTACACGAGGACCTCAGTCTCTTCAAATTTCTTTCTTCACTTACATATGAAGTGAGCAGCTTTTCTACTACACACTCCCACCAGGTTAGCAACTAAGAGTGTGAAACAAAGATATAAATAATGTATGTTGTCTTTCCCATGTGAACTATATCTTAAGGTAATGAAACAGTTAAAAAAAGATTTTTATAAGAATTCTAGCCAGGGGGCTGGGGATTTAGCTCAGTGGCATAAGCACCTGCATTGTAAGTAGGCAGTCGTGAGTTCGATCCCTGGTACCGATAAAAACGAAAAAGACAAAAAAAAAAAAAAAAAAAAAAAAAAAAGAATTCTAGCCAGTAAATACAGAAGAAATGTAAAATTAGAAAAAAAAGTAACATTTTACAGCCTTGAATGAAAACAGATATGTGTATGATTTTAATGAATATAAAATCAGTACTGGAGAAGGAATTGTAAAAGGGTGATACTGTTGTTAAAGCTTGGAATCACATCAAGTGGATCAATTGGTTATTGTACATCTCATACAAAAGACATACATAAAATTATCTATGAAATGGTTTAGGCCAAAAAAATAAAAATAAAACAAAACCCTCAAACTAGTTATAGCAGGTAACTCATATATCATCCCAGGCCATCTCTAATCTCAGCTGCAACTTTGGAGAACAGTGCTGAGTCTCCGTGATCATCTAAAAAGAAATGAGAGGTGCGCGGGGGGGCGGGGGGGCGGGGATTGTGAAAAGCTTCTCAGAGTCCCACAGGCCACAGTACGTAAAACAAGCACGTGTGTGAGTAACCAACCTTGATGAGACTTCCTTTTTTATTTCTCTCCCTAATCCCTAACCCCTAATCCATTATTGGGCGACACCTCTCAAATAAACTATTAACAACCGACCCTAGAGTCTTTGCCACAACCAACACTTCTGTAAAAGCTTTGGCTAAGTCAGTGATGAAACTTAGGTCTAATGATTCATTGTATGAAAACATAGCCACCAGGAGAACTTAATAATCATTAGCTTACAGAATGGGCAACCTTTTCAGGACAAGTGACTGATATTTGAAACAAATGCATGAAAACAAAGAGAGGAAGGGAAGTGAGAAAGAGAACAAGAAGAAAATGAGGGGAAAAGGGAGGAAGTTTTGAAGAATAAAAAGACTGAAAAGAGAAAAACTAAGATACGATGCAGACCAGTGAATCCTGATTTAAGTAAACCAATAATTAAAGACATCTTGAACACAAGAAATTTTTTCTGTAAAACTATTAGACAATATTAAGAAAGTCTTGTTAACTTTGTTAGATGTGGTCATAATAAAAGAGGATGTGATTGTTATTTTTAAAAAGGTTTATTGGATAAGATATATTGTTAGTATAAAAGATACACTGAAGTATAAAAGTAAAAATATATTTTTCCCAAATTGTTTTAAAATAGGCCAACAAAGTGAAAACTAAAAACATGAAGAATGGACAAAATAAGATTGTTAAAAATCTTGAAGGTAGTAATAGGAAAAGAGAAATAATTATCATTATTGTTGTCTCTACTTTTATGTATGGAAATTTCTCTATATAAAAAGTTTTTTAATGTGATGATTTCAAAAGACCACAATTCAAATACATATTAATAAGAACTGTAATTTATTACTAATGTGGTTAATTTGGTCAATTAATGTTATCTACCCATTATAGTTTGATTCATCCAATGTGAGGGCTAAGAACCGAAACATTTGTTACCTTCTCTTTATCAGAAGCAAATTTCAATGGTCATCATTTTGTCACTAGTTAGCATCTCCCAATTTCTGTGTATTCAAGAAATAAAAATGCATTTAAATATTAACCTGTAAGAGATATTATTGTAACTAGAACTTATAAAAAGGAAATTTAACATCACCATCTATTTATAATCATGTTTTGAAAAGTGTTTTCAAATGCATTATTTTCACTGATTCTTAAAGAATCTGTATTAAAAAGTCGTGTATTATTAAGTTATAGACAGAAATCATATGATTAAGGGGCTATGAATCACCTGACATTAATGTTTTGCATTACTCTCTTCTTACATAAAGGCCTTGTTGGCAATACTTGCCTACATCATTTCATGCTAGTCTCTGGAGAAATGCTTCTTTTTCTTTCTCTCTGTTGCTCTGTCTCATGCTATCATTCATCTTCTTGTGTGTTTCTTGGTGGTTTACAAATCTCTGAAGTTAAGATCTGGCTTAAGTCAAATGGCCTTGAACACTACATATGCTACAGCCCAATAACTTTATTGAGTACTGTAATCTAATCTACGAGAATTCATCTGGCACTGAAGATTGTGTAATAACATCCATTGGGTCAAGCAGAAAACAGAATCAAAGAACATTGGAAGGAAAAAGTAATATATATATAAGGATGGACCCACCCAAGCTAACATCAAGACTAAGTTTATCTTTGGAGTTTCTCCTAGGTTGTCAGTTCTGAAATCCATGGTGGTACCTCTTCAGATCATCAATTGCATCCTGGCTCTCTATATTAAGATATGATAAGTCATTCCAACAGGTATTATAATCAAGAATATAATGTACCTGGTTAATTTTTAATAGTTTTATAGCAAAATTTTGCTTGTAAGAAATGTCATCAAATTATAGCAATATGAAATGTTAAAATGAAAAAAAGACACTTTTTTATTATTGTGAAGGTAGTAAAATACAACAGAACAAGACAAAATAAAGCCATTCAAGACAATCAGTGAAATTGGTACAGAACTTCACAGTACGTTACTAGGATAACAGTAGTAGGTATCATAGTATATCTCGTTATCTTCACAATAGTTGTCCTTACAATCAGGTATAGAAAAATCAAACCAAATACAGAACATCATAAAACCTATCAAAAAAGAGTATTGAATAGAGCAACACAATTAATCAAAACAAAGCAAAACAGTGATAACAATATTTGCCTTCAAAGAGATGGTAGAATAAAATCCCTCATATTTTCTATATTGTATATGGTCATCCTTCCAAGAGATGCTCAGACCTCTGGCTCCCATTTGTTAATTGGGGTAGGGTTTGATTCTCAGCCCGTGTGCCAATAGGCTCATGGCAGCCTACTCTTGGGAGGCTAGTGGGTTCCTTTGTTGCCCCACGCTCTAAATTCCAACATGGAGTGGATCTCTTGCTGGTTCTGTTCCTGGGTCGCCTGCTGTTCCCTAGAGCCAGGGAGGCATGCAGGTTCCTTTGTTGACCAGCGCCCTTGGGGGAAAACAAAAACAAAAACAAAAACATTTTAACAAACATTTTCACTATTTACAAAAAGATGTCTACTTAAAGAATGCCTTACTTTATAGGATGTTATAACAGGAAAAGCCTTCAGGTAATTTCTGGTTTAGCATCCTTCAACTCACAGAGGATAAATGAGTTTGTTAATTAGCTAATAGCCATAATTAATTGAGTGCCTCCTATCTGCATTGGATAAGGACTCACAATATAGGTATAAGTCACAGTAAGAACCTGCTTGCAATGAACACTCAGTGCAATACGGCACATAATCTCCGATCTGCAGAGAATTAGCCATGTCTTCTACATGGAGAGGAGATATTTATGAAATTCCAGCATTTAGAAATATTGTGATTTCCCAACAATCATCCTGATGAGCTTATTAGTATTCATGTGATCCTCCTATCTCTCCATAGGTATCATTGTTGTGGAACATAATTCATAGAAAAAGAAATAAGCCCCTAAAGGGCACATATGTTAAATCTAAATAGTATCCTCTCTTTTTGAAATTATAGTTTTTGAACCTTAATAGAGAGTCTTCTGTTACCAGAACAACCACATCCACCAAAAAATCATATTAAAATCACGATAGTATCCCAAAACGATAATGAGTTCTTGCAGAGTTTCCCTAGCTATGGAGAGGAAATCATTAGTAACTTAAGACAGAAATAAAGAAATCATCTAATTAATGTATTCAGAGAAGAATCTTAATGTCCAATTATTCTCTGGATTTGACACAATATAGTAACAACATAACATAGTCAGCAGCATTGTATTAACATTGGAAGAATTAAAAGGAATATAGTCAAGCAGGAGGAGGGAGATATGTTTTTAACCCTCTTTTAATAGATAGAAAGAAAAGAAAATCTGCTTAAGCTTAACATATTTTAAAAACAATAGAGTAAACCAACATAATTATCCCAAAAACTATATTGTACCAAAACGTCAGAATTTTACTATAACAAAAACTTAAAAATATCATTTAAACAAAAACATATCTGCTCAATTAATTGAATGATAATGAACTATTTGCTATTCCTAAAATGTTCAATTCATTGAGTATTAACAAGTGATTTTTCTTTCTCCCTAGCTTCTTATTTCAACTTTATTGATTGATGACCAATGTATATCTAAGCATGTATAATTTTCATATTTTATGATTGTTCCAATAATAAAAGAAACACAGAATAAAAAGTTAAATTGCCTATATCAACTTTATATTGATGCTTAATTTCTTGAAAGTATGAAAAGAAAAATATTTTCTAATACATTATTATATTATTTTGATTATCTAGTACATAGTAACAGTTTTTATAAAGCAGGTACTACTGTGAAAACATCCCCCTGTTTCTAACCCTCAGCATGCCAGGTCTCATTCAATAAATAAATATATAAACAAACAAATACATAAGCCTTCTTCCCTGTAATTTTTAATTCTTCAAAATTTAAAGGCTGTATCTCTTAATTATTAATAATTTATAAAATACTACAGCCATAATCAACAGCTGGATATATTTTATGAACATTTAGCGACATCTCACTTCCCCTCATTAAAACATTATAAAGCAAAACAAATCTTTTAAGCATATAAATTTCAGAATGAGAGCATTCATGTGTTTTTTTTTAAATTAATTTACTTCTATATTCAACAAAGTTCAATTTTTCTAGGAGATGGTCTTAATTTTTTTAAGATTATCCCTCTTTATGATTTCTCCCTTTTTTGAGGACTCAACAATTTTCTTTTATTGTTAAAATGTTAAGCAAATGTCCACCTTCTTTGCCACATGTCCGCGTGTCAATGCTCTTGCTTTTCATGGTACTGCCTGTAGCTCCACTCTGACTATACAGTGACACAAGTGTGGCTGGAGAGACTGTAACTGAAGGTCTAAATTGTCTATGCATAAAGAAATAGCATGGAGTTCACAATATGTGATTTCCTGAGCAATGTTCTTTACTCTGCCTCTATGCAATGACATCTGTACTATCATCTCCATCTTGAAAGAATTCATTATTTTAGAGCCATAGTTTTCAACTATAATAGGTAATAAAGTAATTGGTCCCACAGGGTTCATACTAGAACCCCAAATGTTTGATGTTATACTAAGTCATTGGACTCGTGTATCCCCCTTCCTGCAATGTTACTCACTTTTTATATTAATGTCACATGTTTAGAATGGTTCTACATAATATATTGAATGTCTTCATATGAAATAAATGTTTGACAGTATATGAAACATCATCAATTGTAATTTTAAGGCAAAAACAAGTATGCTTATCTTAGTTAATACTGTGAAGATCAACAGGACAGGGAGTATGGATGATAAATAACCAAAGCACAAAGTGCTAAGTGGTTAGTGCCACTGGACAGAGGGGTTTCTCTAAGCATGAAGAGTGAAATTTTCCCTGGAGCTTTCAATAAAAGACAATTCTAAGTGTAGACTTGTGTCTTCAAAAACATATATGCTCTTCAGAGTGGGCAAAGTTTAAGGTCATAGTTATACTGAATAACTGAATAGTTATACTGAATACTGAGATAAAATTATATAAAGAATGAATGTTTAATAAGCAATAGAGAGAATAATTAAGTGGAGCAAAATTAGTGCATGCATGCACTTGCAAGCATATTTGCAAAAGATACAACTTTTTACTAATAAGCATAAGCTCCAAGAGATAAAATAGCAAAATATATAGATTCGAAGAGCGCTGAGATTTCATTCTACTTTCAATTCTTAGTCTGACCTGGTATTTAAAGAAGAAATACATGGAAAGATGAAATTTGTTTTAAGCTTTAAATCCATGAGCGTGATGCACAATTATTGAAAATTTGTCTGTGTAGCACTGTGGTAGATAAATGTAGAAAAATAAATAAGATAGTGATGATTTCTTCAAGCATCTTAAAATGTACGTTCTGTTTTTAGGGCTATCATTTAATATTCAGGATATTATGGGTTCACTGAGAAGATATAGCAAGACTTATAAAATTTGTATGATTTTCATTAGAAATTTATTTTTATTAAATTTATAATAAATTATGTCTAGTTAGCCCATGACCTATATATCTTGGTTATAAACCTAAAGAATAAATATTTATGGACCTTCTGAAGCTGTGTAATGAGAACTCTTCCTATTTTTCTAATTGTTATAGTTATAAAGCAAGTGATTAATTGGAAAATGTTAATGCCAAGTAGTGATGCTCTAACTTTAAAGAATATAAGAATTGCCTACAGGGCATGTTAGGGCGTGAATCAGTGACTTCACGCCAAATCAGTGACCTCACGCCAAATCAGTGACCTCACCCTAGAGTGGCTGAAGGAGTAAGTCTGGGAAGGGCCCCAAAATATCTGTATTTCTCACAAGTTCCTAGGGATGCTGATGTGGCTTTTCTGGAAACTTGACTTTGAAAATCAAGGCAAGAATTAATTAACAACTTTAGGTAGGAATTTTCTCTCATTCACTTTTGTATGCCTATCATCTGCCATATAGTAAAATCTCAATAAATGTTTATTGAAATGTACGAACAACCAACTGGTGACATACATGATGTAACTAAAAATTTTTCATTAATTTAGATTATTAAATTCCCAGTTCAAGAGTCTTCTTATTACTCCCACTTAAAAAGAAATTAATAAGTCAAGAAAATATTAAGTAATTGCTGCCCCATTTCCTGAAAATGGAAAAGCTGAATTCTGAACTCTGTGTTGTCATGGATACAATATTCTATTTTCAGTGTTAGTTGTGCCCTACTTGTTAATGACTGTTACACTAACCAATAGGAAAATAACACTTCACTCACCACATTTCATTAAATTTAACACCTCATATTAAGCTTAATGGGACAATAAGAACAAAGTTCTGCTTGCCAATTGTTTACAGAATTCCAGAATTTCCCTATACTTAGCGACTTACACTGTATCAATCTTTATTAGCAGTTCTCAAATTTAAATAAAAGGAAAATAAATCCTTTCTATTTGACTTAGTAATAATGACCTCTGGGCTGGACACTTCCTGCCATTTAATGAATGAAAGGGTTTTGCTGTCATTGATTCAGGTCTCTGCTTCTTCCATAGATTATTATCCCACAAGAAATTCCCTTGCTTTCAGACATTACAAATTTAATAGAAGAGTAATAGAAAAATATGACCCAAGCACCAGAATCTTCAAATACTTACATCTTGCAGTGGTAAATGTAAAATATGGGTGACAAGTGTACAAATCATCAAACTTGAACAAGATTCTCCATAGTTTGATCATAATGCCTCCATCACTAAAACCTGGAATCATACTGCTTTACTTTTAAAGAAACTTGAACTATAAGGTATCAAGTTTAATAATACATTAAAAATGGAAGAAACTGTAGACAAACAGGTCAGGCCTAGGAAGGAAAAAAGAGAAGGTAATTAAATATATTCAATGAAGCACATTTCTGAACAAAAGCTCAAGAAAATATTGAGAAATATAACATCATTTCAAAGCCAAGGGAAATAAATGGAGAAGGAGAAAAGGACAGATAACTCAGAGGGGCTGAATAAATCTCAGATAGGATATAAAAGACTGGAAGCAGATGTTTATATTAAATTGCCAAAGGAGTGATGAAACCATACAGATTGTGGTACCAATTTAACTGGGAAAAACTATAGTGAGCAGACAAGAGATTTAAGTTGGAGCTCTATTTTACACCAGTCAACAAAAAGAGGTGGCTGTTGCTGCTTCTGCTAAATATGCTATCAAGAGACGTGATGTGTTGTTGCTTTGGAAGATATGTGTAATCTTCTTTATCTGATACAAAATTGATGCAAATTTAGAATAACTTTATGAAGAATGCCTGAAGAGGAGACCATATTGCTTCCCATTGAAAAAGTCAAGAGTGAGTCATTAAAAAAAATTCCATTTCAATTTGGTCACTCAGTTAAAGTAATTTCACTCTGATTTAGCCAAGGTATTGCCCGAGTTGTTTATTTTTATAGCAGAAAAGAAGCCAACTACAGAATAACCATGCAGTCAAACAGTCAAAGTGATATTTAGGGAAAAAAAGAAATTGCTGCTTATAATCCTCTTTTAATGAACATATATAGTTCTTTGTTCTTATTTAAATAGTTTAGATAGTGTCTCTGCAAAGAAAAGATCCAAACTTTGTATGCTAGTTATAAATTTAGTTTTATACCTAAAAATGTCAATTACTGAATTTAAGAGAACAATCTTCAAAAAGTACTCGGGCTCACAAATGTGTTGTTTTCTTGTTATTTTCTTTAAAGTAATGCTGGGGTCCAAATGCAAGGCCAAAATAAACAAATGGTCAAGCTAGAAGAAAAATAAAAGGCCAACTAAGAGAAATGATGTGTAAATTACTTTGTTTTCTTTTTGAAACTGATTGTAGCTGCCTAAATTCTGGGGCAAACATATAACCTGATCAATTCATCAGGGAAAAAAGAGAATAGAATAAAAAACTTTGGTTATTTCCTTTCATATCAAGATAAATGAAATCACTAAATATCTCTGAAGTTTTAATACCTTCATCACTAAATCAATGTAATATAGATATGGCTGAAATGTCCCTCCTTTTCTTCTCTTTAAAACTCATTAAAATAAGGAGAGGACAAAGTAAGGGCCACAGAATAAAAATATTTTGGTAGTCCTCATTAAAAAGAGTTTAAGTACCTTGGATTTTATTTTATTACATGGTAATAAAATTCGACTAGAGGAGAGATGTTCAATCTGGAACTCAAAGGCCAAATTCTAAGTACAGCTAACTCTTAACCAAGGAACATTTGACCAAGTAGACTTGCAGCTGAGAAAGCCTGTCGCCCCAGAAAAACCATCTGTACTATTTAAGCTACTACTTTCTTTTTTAAAAAAAATGACCTCTGCCTTAGCAGCTGAACTTTCTTATACACTCATTAGTATGAAAAGAAGAAAAAAATGAAATCTGATGGAATGTGAACCCCTTAACAAATACTATCAAATAAATTTTAATATGATGTGCTTACTGATCTCGTTATGTTCTGAAAAATGAAAGAAATTAAGGGAAAAGTCAAACACATTATGCCCCCTAGAAAACTGAGAGGACAGAAGACAGGAAAAATAACAGACAGTAGATTCTGCTCCCTTACAATCTCTTACCACCTCATCTTTCTCTATAAGGTAGGACTTGTTTTTCCTACTGAAGTAGGTTCTCTGGTGTTATGGGTAAACATATATTACTTGGTAACAATCCAAGAGGATTTATCTGGGGAAGATTTAATACACCCTATCTGTCTCATGGTCCAACTCGGTGGCATATCACCAGTTTAAATACACAAGTCTGCCATGAAATTATGTAGGATCCATCCCAGGTCTCCCAGTGAGTGTTCACTAGAGGCCCTTTCTAAGTTAGGAAACTTCACTGAAATTCATACCAAGTTTTGCATTCCCAGCTGGGAAAAACAATCACTGTCTCCTGAAAACTTTTGCAAATGCTCCTCTATTTAATAAGGGACCTTCAAATTTGCTTGAAGAAACCTGAGAGATACTGAGCTCTGTTTCACACCTCCCCAGCCCACCTTGCTTAAGTTCCAAGAATCAACAATGAACCAGAGTATAAAAAGAAATTAAAATTGTAGAAGTGCCAAAGGTATTCCTTGGAGCAGAGTGTATATTGTGTTGTCATGTAAAAGAGCCCTTGAAAGATAAAGGAACTAGATCCAATTATATTACTGGTTCCATGTTCATCTGACTCGCTGTCTAACTCCAGACTTCCAAAGATATCACTGTGCCTGCAATAATTAATTCACCTCTTACATCCAAAAACACATTGGAAAATTAATTCCCAACACTAAAATGAATTTGGCAGCAGAACACATTACAATTTTGCAGGTTACCTGGCAATCATTTTGAAATGTTATCTTGGGTAAAATGTACTCTTGTATCTTTCCCACAGATGTAGTCTGTCTGATTCCTGAGCTTTATTTCTAATTACATAAAAGAAAACATACTCACTTTTGAAGCTTTTATGAAAAGTAAAAGTGATCTTCCATAAACATTTATACAGATGCCAAAATACATTTTAACTATGAAAACAACAATACTAATTTTAAGGACAAGTAAGAACAAACATGTCTATATGAAAACTGATTAAAATTAAACCTTATAAATAAGGAATTTTGAGATAAATTTTATTATTTTTGCATGTATGTTATTTTGGTTTATCATGAGGGATACTTATTTAATAACTTAAGATCAGTTTAAAAGCATTCAGAACTACAGATAATTAATAAGCTTTAACCAGAACATAAATTCTTGGATTTGTTAATCAGAACCTAGAAGTGACCATTTAGATCCCATCAAAACCTAAGTCTATGATTTGTAGGTCTGTCAACAACTGAGAAGACCACTTGAGACATAAAGCTTGAAATACTAAGGGCAATTAGGTGGAATTTTTTTTCACTCTTTAAAGGTTTTGTTTTGTTTTGTTTTGTTCTTTCTGTTTTTTTTTTTTTTTTGAACTAGTAATTGAGGCTTTCAAATGTACTAAACTCAGAAAGAACTCAGATTCTCTTCCATAGGCTCTCTTTGGACTGCACCAGTCCCAAGAAGAGACTATTTATATAAATATTGCATTAGGAAAAAAAAGAGCTGGACACAGCTGGTTACTTCCTTTGGCAGAGAACAGCTAGGGCCTTACCATCTTTCTGTTTATGGCAACACAAACTACTTTATTTGAAAAGTCACTCATTTCTATGATTTCAATGGACATGTTTTCATCAACAGAGCAGTTCAGGAGGAAAAAATTATTTTATTAGCTAATTTTCCTTTCATGAATTAGAAATTTTTTTCTCTGCACAGAGAAATTTCAAACCCCTCCAGAAATGGAAGCATGCCCATGGATTGACTACTACAGATCAAGTTTCCAGTGCGCTAATAACCTGCTCCAGTGAAAACATATTTTTAATTTGCTTTTAGGGTTATTTATTTTTTTATTATTATGCTAAGGGTTTATAATTTAATGTCAAACATAATTTTGCACGAATTATGTGACTGTACTATGATGCAGTAGATAAGCTTAGTGTGCTTGGTTGGCATGGTCTCAAACGATGTTTTTGAGAAAATGGATCACCATTTGGCAGGTTGCCAGTCCATAAACTGCTTAGTAGAACTTTAAAAGGAAAAAGTTGCAGAGAATTTTCATGTTTTGAGAAAAATATTTGTAGTACTACTAGAAACAAAAAATTGCTCTCTACTAGATGTAACATAAATTGTGTGAAGCTAATTAAGAAAATTAAAAGGTTTCCAGTTAAAAATTGCAAAGTCATATTTATTATAAATTGTCAGCTAGCCAAGTGGAACAGTATTTTTAAAATGAAAATATTTGTTTTAAAATATAGTAGTCATTGTAGTGTCTCCAAGCTTTATGAGCAGTTGGGTTAGCACTGAGCAGCGTCTAAAATGGGCCAAATATTACAATGGAAATTGGAAATTCAAAAATAAAAATTGTATTGCCTCTTCTGTCAGGGAGCCCACTGTCTAGTGGTGAGATAGGAGAAGGCACACTGTGCCATGTGATGTGGTGGTCTCTACATAGAACTTATGCAAAGGGTACTTTTAAGCATAGATAAGATAATTTGGCCAGGATTTTAACATGGGATGGAAAGTCAGGAAATATCTTCAAGATTAGGGAACAGTATTGTTGCAGGTTAGAAATCAGAAAACCAAAAGAAGCAGTCTGGCCAAATACATATGATTGTTTGTTTACTTATCCACCTCCAATTTAAAAAAAAATGTTACATTTGAATGTGATTAAGTTGCTTTTGCGTGCTTTAGCTTATCTCATCCTTATAGTAACACTTGATGTTTAACTATTACAGGTTTTCTGTATCTTCATTCTACAAGACAATGAAGGTCTAAATAATTCTGTCATCACCTCAGAGTCATTCAGATAACCAATGCATGTGCTACCAAACCAGGAGTAAACTGTGCATCTCCTGATTTCCTGCAAAGCAGTCATGCTGTATAACCCTTTCTTGCTATTAGTCTGCTCAGTTATCATATCACTGCTAACAAAAAAAGAAAAAAACAAGTCATGGTCATACATGATTAAAGAAAATATGAAACTATCATGTAACCTTTCCATTAAAATAAAAACCTCATCAACGACATAATCAACAAGAGTCCAAAATATATTTTAATTGTTCATCCGTTGTGGTAATCAAATCATACAGAACACGTAACAAATCTAATTTTACTTCTGTGTTTTCCCACTACTAAGTACAAGTATTTTGGTCCCAAAGTTACTGAAGTATATAAAGGTAGAGGCATTCCTATGGAAACAGTTTTATTCCCAAGTTTTCAGCTGCTTCAAAATATTTTTTGATGTTATAAGTGATAAGTATCTTGAATTGAACAGATCATTGACTTATTTTGATCATTGTTATTTTGTTTTTTGTTAATATGAAGCTCTATATCAAGAACAAGCTGATAAACTTCTAATTCTATTAAAAAGTTTATAATGACCAAATATTTGCAATGAAAGAGTTAGAAAAATTTTTTTCTAAATATGAAACTATAGAACTAGGTATTGAAAATACTTTTCCAATTAGATGACTACTTAGATTGTTTAGGTAATTATTTTGAGCTCTTCATAACATTTTCTAGTTATCTATTTGATTATCCATAGGTTATGATGTAACAACAAAGTGACTTCCCAAAACTTATAGACTAATTCATTAAGGCATAATAAAGTTTTCTGAGTCTAGTAGCTTCCAACCAATGTCACACTGATTCAATATACCTAAGTCTTGCAAGTTACTATATCTGAGAAAGAGAGATGAAGGGCCATTTATCTGCTGAAAAGTGTTTTTGTCTGGAAAAAACACATTTCTACTGCTCTCAGCCCACTGTCTGTAGATATTCAGATGCCCCTTCCAAACTTATAAAAAGATGATTTATAAAAAGATGGCAGAACATACTTGAATTTTCTTTGAACAGAAAACATATCTGCCAAACTAGGCATGGTTCTACTGGAACTTATATTTGTACTATTCCAAGAAACTCTGAAAATTATTTGGTTCAAACATAGCACAACATAGATTATGCATTTAGAACATAAATTGATGTCAAATATTAAATAACGGTGAAGACATATTTTTCAACAGTGATAACAAAATTATGAAATTTCTTAAAGCAAATATATAGAAAAGAAATAGCTTTCCTGATTATGTTGTTATATGTCTCTTTAGTAAATATGAATCCTACAATCTGGGAAAGGTAGGCTGAAAGAAACTCTTAGCAATTTCTGAATACAAGATTTGGATCTATTGGATCATATACCATTCTCTGTGCTTTCATGTTATCATACTGTCATGGTTTATGTGGGTGGCCCCCAGGCCTCATGCATTTGCATTGAGTGGTTCATTGTCTGGCACTTGGATTGGGGTGAGAGTGCTACACCCACCCACCATCCTGATGGAGCCAGGATGTGATGTAATGGCAGGAAGAAGGTGTGTCTTGCTCTTTTGTTGGTTTCTGCCTTGCTATTTGCAGCCGCCATGAACTGCAGCCCAGCCATGCCACCCTGCATAGGAGCCAACTGAGTATTCACTGAAACATCCAAAAACTATAAGAAATAAAACTTTCCTTCCCCAACTTTGGGCATCAGGTGTTTTGTCTCAGCAATAAGTAAAAAGTAACTAGCTCTTCAAGTGTAAATAGATAAGGAAAATAATCAGTATTCCTCTCCCATCAACAAAACTAAAATATCCCTCAAACAGAGGCAAGTTTATTGGTTTTCTAAGGCGGCAAGGCTAAAGTAGTACTCTGAGGAAGAAATCAGCTGGCTAATCCAACAAAGCTAAATGTAGAATAAGAATTTATGTAACATGCCCAACTGAAGTAAGGGGAAAGATAACCAGTGCGATGGGAGGATATTAAAACTCAGCTGGAGTTATGTCTGCACACCTAATGCACAGATAATATAGTGCATTGTTTACAAAAGGCTCCACCATAGAACTACCTATATTAGTTCCTGATCATACCACTTAAAAAGCCTGTGATCTTACCCAATTTGCTTAACCTTCTGTCACTTCAATTTATTTTTTCTCTACAGTGAGTATAATGACTACCTTGTTAGATAACTGAGACAATTATATTCAACGAATTCATGTTTGAAGTGGTGATGACAACATCTTTCCCTGAAAGAGGGAAATTCTTCTTGAGAGGGCTCAGAAATAACATTTAGGGGGCTGAGGATTTAGCTCAGTGGCATAAGCACTTCCCTGAAAAGTGCAAAGTCGTGAGGTTGATCCCTAGTACCAAAAATAAATAAATAAATAAATAAATAAATATAAAATAACACTTAGGGGCTGAGGCTTTAGATCAGTTGTGGGAGATTTCTAAGTATATGTAAGGCCCTAGGTTCAACCTGCAGCACTGAGCATACATTCTATACACAAAACCTTAGTATATATTTTTTTTCTTTTTTTCCGCTATGTCCATATCCAAATTCTTCCCCAGGGTCCAGCCGGGGACCCAGAGCCTCTGAGCAACAGAGTTCGCTGTAGCAGCCACCTGGGCCAGCTCCCGTCACAGTGAGACAAGAGCTAAATTTGACTCAACTGCTGCCTTAGAATTTTTAATACCTAAGTCACTGTGAAAGTGTTTATAACAGCTTCTTATATGATTGATGAGATTTATTGCGGATTTCTTTGTCCTGAAAGATACATTACTTTTCATATATGCTATATAAAATTTCCATAGTACTGAAAATACATTCTAAATAACACAGCAAATATGAAATAATGCAAACCTGTAGATAAAATATGTAAACATTCAAAAGTTATTGGCATAAATTCAACAAAACTAAAACTTTTTTCTCATTTTTTACCATCAAAACATTTTTACTTCTTTAAATTTTATTTTAAAGTGGGTAAAATTAAACATAATAAAACATAACAAAACAGATCAGAAGAAAACAATTGTAAGAGACCCAGATTTCAAAGCAAGAAAACAGGAGATCTTAACTGTCTATCATATTGTCTCTTGTTTTCATCTAAATAGTTGCCTATATCTTCACACACAGTGAATTCATATAAAACAAAATAGTATTAGACTGATCAGAACAGGATGATGAAGGCCTATTAGGTTTTCAAAATCAGACAATAAGGAAGTCAACAATGGCTGCCATAATGTCTCTCATTCTCTTCAAAATAGCTGCCCATACCTTTGTGTATGCTGAAATTAAACAATACAAAACAGACTAAAGCCACTCTGAATATAGAATAGAAGCCTTTTTGGATTTCAAAGCATGATACTATGGAATCAGCACTGGGCACCTTAGTGTCTCTTTTTCTTCAAAGTAGCTGTTCATTTCATCATGCATTATATAATTGATCTTCATAAACTGCTCAGAAGTTCTATGCATGTATGAGTCTCTACATGTATACATATCCTTTCTAGATCAGAAGGAAAAAACAAAACAATATAAAGCAAGTTCCCAGAAAAACACGAAACATGAAAGACAGATAACAATAGCAAAGAGCCCAAAACACTGACAATATAGGCCTTCAAAACAAGGTGATAGGAGCGTAACTGAGATTGTTGTTTTACATAATGATCTTCAAGAGTTCCTCAGATCACCATCCAATAATATGCACAATTGATCCAATCCTATGAATGTTAACCATTTTGTTCCAGGAACTTATGGAATTTGTAACACAATCATCTTAGCTATCCTAATTGGGTTTATATAATTTTAGATATTTTTCTTTTCCCTTCCTCTTTCTTTTTCCTCCTTTCCCCTGAGATATTATTTTTCCCCTTTAAGCAGATTCTTATCTTTCACTGTATTTATTGAGTTTTTTGTATCTTATGTATTTTACCATTTCTTACACTAGGGAGACTATATGGTATTTACACATAGGAGTTTGATTTATTTCACTTATAAGTATGGTCTCAAGTTGCATCCATTTACTCATAAATAGCTCAATGTGATCATCATTTATAGCTGAGTAGTACTCCATTGTATAAAAATACCACATTTCTTTTATTCATTCCTCAGTTGATGGGCATTAGGTTGTTTCCAAGATCTGGCTATTATAAATTGTGCTGTGAAAAATATGGGTGCAATTTATCACTGTTGTTTAATGTTTTCAGTTCTTCTGGGGATATGCCCAGAAGAGGAATAGCTGGGTCAAATGGGACTTCCAATCCGGCTTTTTGAGGATTCTCCAGACTGACCTCCACAGTGGTTACACCAGTCTGCACTCCAACCAACAGGGCAGAAGAAGAGTTCCTTTTCCCCCACAGCCTCTCCAGCATTTGTTGGTGGTGGTTTTCTTTATTCTGGCCATTCTTTCTAGAGTGAGATGGAATCTCAGTGTGGTTTTAATTTGCATTTTTCTAATGACCAATGGTGCTGAACACTTTTCATGTATTGATTTGCCATTTGTATTTCTTCATCTGCAAACTATTTATTCATTTTTGATCCCCATTTTTGGAATGGGTCTTTGATTTTGGGGATCTCACTTTTTTTAATTGTTTATTTGTTTTGGACAGAAGTCCTTTGTCTGAGGGACAGTTCACTAAGATTTTTTTCCCAATTTGTGGGTTTTCTTTTCACTACACTAGAGATATCTTTCAACATGCAAACACTCTTTAACAGGACATGACCCCAGTTATTAATCCTGTGAAGTATTTCCCGTTAGGTTTGATTCTTGTTCATGAATTCTGTACCTACCCCTATCTTTTCAAGATTTCTACCTACTTTGTCTTCCAACAGATTTAGTGTTTCTGTTTTAATATTTAGATTCTTGATCCACTTAGATTTTAGTTTAGTACATGGTGATAGGCATGGGTCTAGTTTTAGTTTCCGGAGAGCCAATTTTTCCAGCACGATTTGTTAAGAGACTATCTTCTTCCAGTGGATGTGTTTAGCCCCTTTATCAAAGATAAGGTGGCTGAGTGTGTTTGTAGTTGTAGTTGTGTCTTGTAGTCTATTCCATTGATCTTCAGGTCTGTTTTTGTTCCTGTACCATGCTGATTTTATTACAGTAGCTTCATCAAAGTAATTTTGCATTCTATGGTCATAGCGATTAATAAACTTGTATATCATTATGATCAGCAAAATAATTCATGCCCCCAATAGTAAACTAATGCCTACTATTAATTATAATTTAATATAATTAAATTATATTCTCAGGATATTAATTTAATTTAAATCATCTCTATGATTGCAATAGTTTGGTTTTGTATAACTCCACTCAAAAAATACAATAAAATAAAATAAAAGCCTGGGATTTAGCTCAGTGGCTCAAGTGCTTACCTGGTAAGCACAAGATTGAGTTCAACTCCCAGTACCATACACTCCGCATACTACTCACAGTTATATTCTCATCATGTAAATATCAGACACACTGATTTATATTTTCTACTATTTTCACCCAATCTTTTTAATTTTATGTCAGTATGAAAATGCGTTAAATAACTGAAGTCAAAATTTTTTGGTTAACTCACAGTAAGACCTCAGAAACCTGTGTCAATCTGAAGTATAGACATAGCATTTTCCACAACTTAACTACCTAACTAACAAGAAGTCTGTGTTCATTTTAGACACTAACCAGACCACAAAGGAAACTGAAGCTCACTATTATTGGGAGAAAGAGCCTAAGTAATTACGTCATGGCACTTTTCATAGTGATCTGGGGTTTTCGATTCTACTCTCATTTTCGTCACCTCAAGACACATTGATGGCATCATGTTTGAATCATTCCCTCAAGACATTGGGAGTAAACAAGAATGATTAGAACTGTGAGCTGAGGTGAGACAAATTATCATCAGTAAGCAAGGCATCAGCATCAAGACTGTGAAATAATTATTTGCTACTAATTTTAAAGCTCATTTTTATACGAACTTATAGTTTAAAATTTATTTCCAGTAACATTATCTAAAGTGCCTTAAAGAAGACAAGTATATATGCTATTTGCCTTTTGAAAATAATGTTCAATATAAGGAAATTTCATATTGGTCACATTTAAATAGAAATTGCATAGGTGGATAAGAACTGTAAAGAGAAGTGTTATAGCATAGGACCAAAAGTCAGGAAGCTTGTATTCTAGCTGAAGCTCCAGCCATTTTACCAAGCCATCATTCTCCTCTGAATCTGTCATATCACGTTATATCAGCTGCTAAATCATTATATATAAGACAATACTGCAAGCTCCAAGTAAAAGTGTTCAACTCTCCACTTATATTCACTACTTTTTTCTTATTATGCACAAAATATTTCCCAAACTAAACACTAATGACCAAAACCTAGTAAATGCTGATAACATATAACCTAATAAAATATAAAGGTGTAGTAGACCTTATGAAGAAAAAACTTATGTGAATAATTATTAATATCATACAATGATAGCTATCTTAGTCTTACTATGTCTAATCTTCCATGGTAAATTCAATCACTTACTTCAAATAGACGTATCACAAATTACCTTGACTTCACTAAATGCTAAATGCATGTTTGAAAAAAATAAGAATTTGTGTGTGTCATGAGAAACCATGATAATTCAAGTCATGTCTAATTACATTACTATTTTTTGAATCCTCACTGAATGTCATGTAATGTGTTAAGACATTAGAAGGCATTATCACCTGTAATCTACTCTAAATCCTAGGTCTTAGATAATGTGATTTACATTTTTCATGAGAAAATGGCTACTTACCTCCTAGTGTCTCATTATTTGAATCCGTTTATGTCCAATCCCAAATTCCATACTCCAAAAACTGTCTTCTACATCACCTCCTTCTCGAGATCATGTACCACTGGGTTTCTTAAGTAGAGTCTGAAAAGACAATTATAGAAACATAAAGTAAGGAAAAATAGGTATAATTTTGGGCTTAGGCATGAGTTATTTTAATAGCCATCATCTTTAAGCCGGGATTCTATTTATCATTTTGAAAGTAGGAGTGTTGTTATTTAATAAAATGGCATTAATTCCCTAAAAGACACTAAAATGAAGATGAATAAAAGTGATAACATCCCTGACAGAATTAGCATAACTATTCCAAACTTAGATTTCCATATAATTCAAGTTTCAAATTATTGCCATAATCTTTAAAACTGTTCTGAGTGGGGGTAAATTTAAATACAGGAATTCTGACAGATATTTCTGCCTTGTTACATTCTGCTAGTAGAAAAACACACATCTACATTTAGACCCATAGCAAAAGCTTTTGGAGCAAAAGTGTCTGTCTTATAAATTCACTTTCACAGCATGGCCCTTTACCCATTCCCATATATAACCCACAAATCTAATTAAGAATAGATGAGCCAGTAAGAGAACTGTCAAATGATTCTCCTTCCCTGTTTCCCCTCTCAAATATAGATACTATTTCTCTTACACTATATTTAGATAATTCTCCTTTAAGAAAAGTTTAGAATTCTAGAAAATTTTCACAAACTAATTATACCCAAGTTTTCAATGAGCTCAACCAAGATTTTATCGTCACAGGAAACCCGGTGGTACCTCTTGTGGCTCATAACGGTAATGGTAGGCGGCTGCATCATTGCTTTGACAATCTGCCACTGATTCTTGTGGCCTTCATCCTGGTCTCCAAACACTTAAGAACAGCTGGCAGTCTTTATAGAGAATTACATTCTCACTTGTTGGTCCTTGAGCTTCTTAACAATTTAAACTACTGTTATAATGACGTGGCCATGCCTACGGGCTTTCATTTGACAGGTCCACCCATTAAAGCCAATGGTAACCAGCTTCTTGATTGTGATCTTGAACTCCTTTCTAGAGTCATAATAACTTCTGAAAAAAAATACTTTAAGATGATTTGTCTTCACCTGGCAACAGACACTAAACAATAAGAGTAAGGAAAATTTGGCTAGCAGCCAATGCTAGAGTAGACATGAGATCTTTTTTGAAAATTTATTTTTGAACCTACACAGTAAGACTCCTGCACTTAGTGAAAAGGGCTGAATTATCATAATGCTATCAAATAAAACTGCACTAAAAACAAAATATGAAGTAACAAGGAAAAGGAAATAGTAAAAGAGAGAATTAAAAAGAAAACAATTTGAAACTAAAAAGAATGAGGGGAGTCCCAAGTTTAAAAGCAAGACAAAAAAATGAAGAAAACTATTTTATATAAATTTACACATTTTTACAGCATGCTCTGGAGTTTAATTATAGTATCAAGATACTAGAATAAAATTATGAGTGGACTATATTTGAATGGTTCTGTGAAAAAGGCCAAAATCATTATGTGAGTTTCAAAATATGGGCTATAACTTGTGGGCTACGGGTCATTTTTGTCTGGGTAAGGGAGTCTAACCCTATCAGAGACTGAAATAACAAAGGTTACAAAGCATACATTTTCAAAAAGTAAAACAAAATGCTGTAGCTATTTTTGGAATTTACTGTTAGATTATGGTTACTCTTAAAAATCAGCAGTGGCCTCTTGATCTCTATTTTCTGCATGTCCAGAAGCAAATCCATGGAGTACTGGTTGATATTGCTAAAATGTCATTGATGGCAAAAAAAAGACAATGATGCTAATGACCAAAGGTAATATTCTTCATAAAACAGTGAGTCAACAAAGATAATGTTGTATTTCCTACAAAGAAGCAGACTTTTTTCCTTGACACCTGATTTATGGATGCTTGTCTTCTTCATTCCATGTGTGTATCTTTAGAGTCCCAGCAGTGTTAATGCCAGTTGAACAACTATACTAGGCTCATCAAGTCGAGAGCACACTCTGCTTAACATTAATCTAAATAGAATCATTATCATTTCTAGTAAATTGACAAACCTGTGAGTACTGGCATTGTAGGCCACATGACAATTATCGTATGATTAAAAAATGAACTGTTTATGTGTTTTTATATTGCTACTAGAATTGAATTTAAAAAAAAATACCAGTAAGGAGAAATGATTTCTTTAACATTTGATATGTCAGAAATTAACAAACACACATTTATCTTTTTTGTGTCCCTTTTAATAATACCAGTTTAGCCCCTATGGACATATATTGCTCTAACAAAACACATTTATGAGTCTTGTTTGCAGAGATAGACATGTTAATAAGTGGTAAAAATCTAAAATAAAAACAGAAGAGAGATAGAGGTGGAGAGGGCACAGATTATAAACCTCATCTTGAACCCTACAAGAAAAATGATAACTATATAGGTGAATGAGGAAAGTATAACACAACATGGGAAAGAGATTTACAAGAAACACTCTGAACTAAAGATTTCTGATTATATTCAATAAGAATTAAACAATGAGTGACATCAATCTCAGTCAAACAGAGTTATTCTAGCACAAGATCTCATAATTTGTTTTTTCTCTTAATTAGTCCCTCCTGGGAAAACACTGTTTTTGGACATAGCCTTTACAATCTCTAACCAGAGTATAGAGATAATAAATCATTTAATCTGGAACAGTGATGACTGCACCAAATGAATATTGTGTGCAGTTTATGTATCTAGTTGTTTTCCTTCTATGTGAAAATAGCCATGAAAGTCAGATATCCATATTCATCAGACTATACTGCTTGCTCTTGATGTGAGTTTTAGTATTCACCTGCTGGGTACAACTGCATGAATAAGAATTTCTCTATGTTGGTCTGGATTGTTCAGAGCTTGTCTTCTACAAATGGAGAATCAAGAGTGGGCAAAGGTGGCAGGACTCTTTGCTTAATAAAGAATACAAATCATGTATAAAACATAGGTATTCTCAGGTACATTGTCCCCATAGACTTTAAACAAGATAGTAATGGGCAATTGTTAAATGCATCCATGGGAAATTTCAGTTTATTTCCTCTTTCTTTTCTTCAAGATTACTCCAACCACCCCACCATATAACTCCTGAGCCTTATCTTTTTCTTACATGCTCTTGGTTCAACACATCTTCCGTGGCCTCATTACCACTGAACTTTCCAAATTATAAACATCTTCAAACATTCATTATTTTAAAAGTAGGCTTACTTTATTTTGCTGTTTTATTAAATTTTCCTCCTATTCCTTAAGAAAGAAAACTGCCTCCTCAAAGCAGATACCCTGCTATATTAAGTAATACAGATGTGTGGTTTTTCCCTACCACACAGCTGGCTCCTTAAGAATAAGGACGAGCTGATAAGAATAGGGACTTGTTGATATTTATATCTTCAGCAGGTTGAGCAGTTTCTCATCATACATCAGGTGCCAAATAAAGTGTAAAATGAATTGAATCTGTCACGCACTTATTGCATCGCTTTTACTTTAGCATATGACCTCTGCACTCACAACTCTAATGGGGGTCAACCAATCAACGGCCCTTTTCCCTCTCTTAGATGCTTCTACGTGTTGACTGTATGGTACATAAGCTCAGTCTTTGGAGTTGGCTGACCTAAGCACAAACTGCAGTTCAATTGCCTGCTTGCTTCATAAACCTAAACACATATCTAACTTCACTGAATATAAATTTTTATCTTTATAAAATTAGGGTAAGGTTTTATCTCTAACAGAATGCCCGGGAAAATTATGTAGCAATATGTAACCAGGTTTTAATATATAGTTAATCCTCAGTATATGTTCTTTTTCCGCTTGCTCTTGTGCCTTTCATTTTATTTTCTAATGCTGTTAACCATGATATTCCTTCTTCCTCATGGTTATACCTGAACATTGTGACTTCTCAGGCACTTTAACTATTGCTTTCTCATAAAATAAATTCCAATCACCTGTCCTTATGGCTAATTCTTTCCTTTTTTTTTTTTTTCTTTTCTCTCTGTTAATAACCCTATCCTGCTTTTGAATTTTACTATTTACTTTCCCCCTATTTTGTAAATTTCAAATTTCTCTGCATCCCATGATTCTCCACAGCAAGCCAATGGACATCATAAGGTCATAGGGTCAAACACTCATAAGGTCATAACTCATGACTCATAAGGTCAAACGTTGTATTTCCTACTTCAAAGATACTACTGTGCCTACTCCTAGTATGTTTCCCCTTTTGTTAATGATTCCACAATTTTTAGAGCCAAACAACCCAGGTTCTGAGTAACTTCTGGGGTCATCTGCAGCAGCACAATTCTGACATCCTACCTCTCTTGCTAATACGTGTCATAAGCTCCAGTGGCCGTCACTGAAGTCCAAACCCCTCAGTTTGGCCATCAAACTATGGAGCTTGTTCTCTATTTGCTACTTTTATCACATTTTCTAGAACTTTCATAGATTCACTTTATGCCTCTTTCAAATACTTAATATTTCATTCATTAGTACCTCCTGCCCATTACCTTCAGCCTCCCTGAATTCCTACCATTTCAAATCCTATATTTTCTACTGAAACCAACTCTTATGTCTCTTTGCCAAGAAGTCTTCCTTGGGTTTCACAAAAAACTATCTTTCATACTTCAACGTATTCAAGACTATTTAACAATTTCTCTTAGAAAATTTAGTTTCTATCAAATAAGTGTTGTTCATATGTATTTATTATGTAGTCTGCTGAATTGGCCATTTTTCTCTCTCTCTTCTACGGCCACATACATTTTAATTTTCCCTGAACAGCCCCCTCATTTCTCCTTTTTTCTGTAACTCAGAGAAAAAGTTAAAGTAGCTTAAAATCCAGAAATAGATGTATTAAATATGCAGCCTTAATTTACATTCAAAATTAATTCATTAAAATTTCCAGGACATAGTTGAATATCTACAGCAAACGAAGTTATTCCTCCCTGGTCAATGTTTTGATAGATATAATTCAGGATCTCAGATATGTTCTGAGTGACAAATATTGCTGAAAAATCTGACCACCAGAGAAGTAGAGTGTTAATGTACAACCAAAGGTTTTTTGCCAAT